GCAGGGGGTTTATGCAAAATATGACCCATCGCCGTTTTCAGTAATTAGCATATTTTCGGTATAAAAAGTCGAAATTTGGAAATGAAAACAGGTGCAGAGAATCAGAATTCGGGTCAAAAATCGCGCTTAGGAGTCAAATTTCCAACATTTCAGATATATAAGATATTATTATAATATCAACAAAGAATAGACAAGGAATAGTCTTTATATTGATGACCAGACCACACACTAGAAATTGAAGGGACGACGACGTTTCGGTCCGTCCTGGACCATTCTCAAGTCGATTCTCAAGACTATCGACTTGAGAATGGTCCAGGACGGACCGAAACGTCATCGTCCCTTCAATTTCTAGTGTGTGGTCTGGTCAACATACTTCAGCCACGTTATTGTGACTCATCGCCTGCATATAGTCTTTATATCTTCAGCCACGTTACTGTAACTATCATCTGCATGAGAATAGCCAAAGCCACTGTGCCTCAGAATAATTTCCTTAACTTCCCTGACAATACATAGAAAAAGGAAACCCAATTACTATCTTGAAATGATTTCGGGGCTTTTTTTTAGTGTCCCCGCGGCCCGGTCCTCGACCAGGCCTCCACCCCCAGGAAGCAGCCCGTGACAGCTGACTAACACCCAGGTACCTATTTACTGCTAGGTAACAGGGGCATTCAGGGTAAAAGAAACTTTGCCCATTTGTTTTTGCCTCGTGCGGGAATCGAACCCGCGCCACAGAATCACGAGTCCTGCGCGCTATCCACCAGGCTACCAGGCCCCTACTAAAAACGCCTTACCAAAATATATATTAAATAAAACATGTATAAGAAAATACATTATAATTCTCTTATTGAGAATACCATCCGAAAAAAAATATATTTTCCTGTTATGTTCTACTTGGGTTTAATACAGTAAGCTATTGTGGTGGCTTAAATAACCTTACACTGGTTGATGGGCCTTTTGTCTATTAACTAACTAACCACTTGGGTTTTAATGGTCTCCGGATTGGCTGTCACTACTAAGAGAGCTGATGTGTTGTGTTGCATTAAATGTCAGTCCTTATTGTCAGGGATTGACTAGGACAGCTGCTGAAAACGTTTTTCTGAGAGCTAAGTATCCAAGAGTAACGTTTGAATCAGTGTTGATAATGTTGGAATTAGTGTTGATAGCGTTTGAATCAGTGTTGATAATGTTTGAATCAGTGTTAATAGCGTTTGAATATGTGTTGATAACGTTTAAATCAGTGTTGATAACGTTTGAATCAGTGTTGATAACGTTTGAATCAGCTTTGATAATGTTTGAATCAGTGTTGATAGCGTTTGAATATGTGTTGATAGCGTTTGAACCAGTGTTGATAGCGTTTGAATATGTATTGATAACGTTTGAATCAGTGTTGATATGGCAGGTGGTTGCGAGGATCACTGAATCGGTTGCCAGTCACTCTGAGCACACTTCCTGGATACTAGTCTGGCCAATCAGACTGTTAGACGCCGCTGCTTGCATCATAACTCCCAGAACAACAAACAACAAACTTATAATATGTATACTAATTATTTAGGAATTCCTGTCACAAGCAGATGGCTTCATGACAACCATTTTAAAACCTGTTTAAATCAGATTCCCGCCAGACAGACTGTGCATTCGAAGTGATTTTGTTTCCTAGTAACTCCTGACTGTTGACGCAGAATGTAATCCATGTAGATTTCTTTCATTTCATGTTATATTTAACTTAATTGAGTTATGTTGACCAAATTCAACATAAATTCAACATAATAAATTCTCAACTTAATTGAGTTATCTTCCCAATTTATGCATCTCACTGATTTTATTATGATTTCAGTTAATACACTATGTTGAGGGGACAGGCAGCCGGTGAATATATATATACATGTTAGGCTTATATCGAGGCCCCCCCACTCTACCCCCAAGGTCGAATCCCCCCCTGATGCAACCCCACAACAAGCTGACTATCTCATGGATACCTAATTACTGCTAGGTGAACAGATGCGTTAGGTGATTGGAAATGCGCCCAACTATTTCTGTACCTGCCCGGGATTCGAACCGATATTCTTGCTTGTGAATCTGGGTCGTTGTCGACTATATTACTAGGACCCAATTAATGTGTTATTTTCCGTGTCTTATACCAGTATATTTCGTGTCTGATAATATATCCTGTGTGTTATACCAGTATATCCCGTGTCTATTATAACACTATATCTAGACTTCCTGTGGTTTCAGTGGTATCTACGGATGTATAACGGATGTATAATGGATGTATAATGGATGTATATATCATATAATATTTCCCATTTCTTTTATATTTCCCATTATAAGTGAATAGTGAGTAAATACATATCTAAGTCAACTGTAAATTCTCAATCATTTTAGAAATTATTATTGAATTTGAATAAATGTAAACAATTGAAATTTTTTTGAAGGAAACATTAAATTCAATTTCAATTCATTGATTATATGGGAATGTTTTGTTCTTTCTCTCACTGTATAATTTACCCATTCTGACCCTCTCTCTCTCTCTCTCTCTCTCTCTCTCTCTCTCTCTCTCTCTCTCTCTCTCTCTCTCTCTCTCTCTCTCTCTCTCTCTCTCTCTCTCTCTCTCTCTCTCTCTCTTTCTTTCTTTCTTTCTTTCTTTCTTTCTTTCTCTCTCTCTCTCTCTCTCTCTCTCTCTCTCTCTCTCTCTCTCTCTCTCTCTCTCTCTCTCTCTCTCTCTTTATTCTGTTTATTTCTCTCTCTACTTTGTGCTCTTATATTTCTTTCTTTTATATTTTTCTCTCTTCTTTGTTCCCTTATATTCTTCTCTCTCTTCTCTCTTATCTAATATTTCTCATTCTTCTCCTTTCTCTTATATTTCTCTCTCTCTTGTGTTCCGTTTCATCCCGCACGTTCTTCTGTGCTGTATTCCCGGAAAAAGAAAGGAACAAACATTGTTTGCTTAGTATTAAGAGGAGCCGCTACGGGTTCTAAGAATCTTGAGTCAGTGACGGCCTTGGCTAGTCCGTCTGACTGTGCTTGTTTGTTTGCTTGTTTGTGTTGTTTGTGTTTGTGATCATGTATGAGTGCTTGTGATGCTCGTGTGTTTTGTGGTGCTCGTGTGTGTGTGTGTGTGTGTGTGTGTGTTTACTAGTTGTGTTTTTACGGGGGTTGAGCTTTGCTCTTTCGGCCCGCCTCTCAACTGTCAATCAACTGTTTACTAACTACTTTTTTTTTTTTTTTTTTTCCCACACCACACACACACACCCCAGGAAGCAGCCCGTGACAGCTGACTAACTCCCAGGTACCTATTTACTGCTAGGTAACAGGGGCATTCAGGGTGAAAGAAACTTTTGCCCATTTGTTTCTGCCTCGTGCGGGAACAAATGGTGTGTGTGTGTGTGTGTGTGTGTGTGTGTGTGTGTGTGTGTGTGTGTGTGTGTGTGTGTGTGTGTGTGTGTGTGTTTATGTGTGTGTGTGTTTGTGGTGCAAAAAATCATATGTTTGCCTGTATATACATCAAGATGTACTCACCTAGATGTGCTTGCAAATTCAAGCGTTTGTTCTGGTATTAAGCTTCTGCTTGTTAATATCTTTTTAAACAGTCAGTAATTCAATGACATCTTGTTTTTCACTAGTTTTTATTATATTTATTTTGACAGCTGGGCCTCGAATTGACCTTGAAAACTCGTCTTTTCTTCCCCGTTGATTTATGACTCCTGGGGATGTGTGTGTGTGTGTGTGTGTGTGTGTATGTGTATGTGTGAGTGTGTGTGTGTGTGTGTGTGTGTGTGTGTGTGTGTGTGTGTGTGTGTGTGTGTGTGTGTGTAATTACCTAAGTGTAGTTACAGGATGAGAGCTACGCTCGTGGTGTCCCGTCTTCCCAGCACTCTTTGTCATATAACGCTTTGAAACTACTGACGGTCTTGGCCTCCACCACCTTCTCCCCTAACTTGTTGTGTGTGTGTGTGTGTGTGTGTGTTATAGAGAAAATATGTGATAGATATGACAGAGGGAAAATTGATCGGAAGTCAATACATTAGACAACCAACGGTTAGAAAGGTGGGGTCCAAGAGCTAACAGCTCGATCCTGAAAGCCCAAATAGTAGATAAACACACGCACACACACACTCACGCACACGCACACACCCACACACACACACACACACACACACACACACACACACACACACACACACACACACACACACACACACACACACACACACACACACACACCCATTCCCTTGCTTCCCAGAGTTCGCTCGCCAATTAAAAATAGTCATTGCTTATAAATAGAAATAACTCGTGATTAGACCGAACAGCCTCACCCTCCTTTACACATAGGACGACAGTAAGCCCCATTATCTTAAAACACGAGCTCTTTACCCATTACGTAGAACGGGGCGCTAGGAATTAAGAGAACTTAATGACGAATCCATGACACAACGGATGACGATGACAACCTAATTTTAATGACGAATCCGTGACGCAACGAATGACGGCTTGTTTATGACGACCTGTCTCATGCAGACAGAGGTAAGGTACTGAGAGATAAGGTACGTACGACTAAGGTACAACCACGTGAAGCATATGCTTACCTCTGGCGACTCCGTGACATTGCACAGAGCCTACTTGTAGTACTAAACACCCGCTTCTGACCACTTACTACTTGTGAAGGAGGAAATGTAGATGTTTATCTCTCAGAATGTTTGGTAATGTGTTTATTGTTTGTGATGTGTGTCTATGTATGTATTAACACGATGTACTGAACGGGGTGAGAATAGCTTGAGCTATCTCATCCCTTTGTGTGTATTTTACCTCAATAAACTTATTTCAATTTCCTAACCACTGATCTTACTGTATGTTGTATTATTTAGAAAATACAGCTGGCACCTCAAACCACCAGCTGCTGCTGAAGTAATGAAGTTTTTCTGATCATTATAAATATTTCGTTTGTTTAAATTTAATAGAAAATACACATTTTTTTCAGGTATTTTATTTTTGTTGTAGAACCTTCACACATAATCCCTAGGACTCCTAGGAGTTCTAGGGGCATAGTCCCTAGGACTCCTAGGAGTTCTAGGGGCATAGTCCCTAGGACTCCTAGGAGTTCTAGGGGCATAGTCCCTAGGACTCCTAGGAGTTCTAGGGGCATAGTCCCTAGGACTCCTAGGAGTTCTAGGGGCATAGTCCCTAGGACTCCTAGGAGTTCTAGGGGCATAGTCCTTAGGACTCCTAGGAGTTCTAGGGGCATAGTCCCTAGGACTCCTAGGAGTTCTAGGGGCATAGTCCTTAGGACTCCTAGGAGTTCTAGGGGCATAGTCCCTAGGACTCCTAGGAGTTCTAGGGGCATAGTCCCTAGGACTCCTAGGAGTTCTAGGGGCATAGTCCTTAGGACTCCTAGGAGTTCTAGGGGCATAGTCCCTAGGACTCCTAGGAGTTCTAGGGACATAGTCCCTAGGACTCCTAGGAGTTCTAGGGGCATAGTCCCTAGGACTCCTAGGAGTTCTAGGGACATAGTCCCTAGGACTCCTAGGAGTTCTAGGGGCATAGTCCCTAGGACTCCTAGGAGTTCTAGGGGCATAGTCCCTAGGACTCCTAGGAGTTCTAGGGGCATAGTCCTTATGACTCCTAGGAGTTCTAGGGGCATAGTCCCTAGGACTCCTAGGAGTTCTAAGGGCATAGTCCCTAGGACTCCTAGGAGTTCTAGGGGCATAGTCCCTAGGACTCCTAGGAGTTCTAGGGGCATAGTCCCTAGGACTCCTAGGAGTTCTAGGGGCATAGTCCCTAGGATTCCTAGGGACCATGTATGAATTTTGTATAAAATTTTGTATAAAATGTCTATTGTTTAATAAAACAGAAAGGAAAAGTTAGTGCCTTGAAAAAAATATGGCTCGGAATATGTCACATATATACTTATTTACAAGCGAAATAGTGACTATTAGCAATAAGTCATATATGTGCTGTCTTGTGCGAGAGCAGGTTGACCCCCCTGCAGTTTTCAAAATATCTGAAATGTTGGAAATTTGACTCCTGAGCGTGATTTTTGGGCCAAATTCTGACTCTCTGCACCTATTCTCACTTTCAAATTACGACTTTTTATACCTAAAATATGCCAATTACTGAAAACGGCGATGGGTCATATTTTGTCCAAACCCCCCTGCAGATTTCAAAATATCTGAAATGTCGGAAATTTGACTCCTGAGCGTGATTTTTGAGCCGAATTCTGACTGTCTGCACCTATTCTCATTTTCAAATTACGACATTTTATACAGAAAATATGCCAATTACTGAAAACGGCGATGGGTCATATTTTGCCCAAACCCCCCTGCAGATTTCAAAACATCTGAAATGTCGGAAATTTGACTCCTGAGCGTGATTTTTGAGCCGAACTCTGACTCATTGCACCTATTCTCTCTTTCAAATTACGACGTTTTATACCGAAAATATGCCAATTACTGAAAACGACGATGGGTCATATTTTGCCCAAACCCCCCTGCAGCTTTCAAAATATCTGAAATGTCGGAAATTTGACTCCTGAGCGTGATTTTTGAGCCGAATTCTGACTCTCTGCACCTATTCTCATTTTCAAATTACGACATTTTATACCGAAAATATGCCAATTACTGAAAACGGCGATAGGTCATATTTTGCCCAAACCCCCCTGCAGTTTTCAAAATGTCTGAAAAGTCGGAAATTTGACTCCTGAGCGTGATTTTTGGGCCAAATTCTGACTCTCTGCACCTATTTTCATTTTCAAATTACGACTTTTTATACCGAAAATATGCCAATTACTGAAAACGGCGATGGGTCATATTTTGCCCAAACTCCCCTGTAGATTTCAAAATATCTGAAATGTTGGAAATTTGACCCCTGAGCGTGATTTTTGAGCCAAATTCTGCCTCTCTGCACCTATTCTCACTTTAAAATTACGACTTTTTATACCGAATATATGCCAATTACTGAAAACAGCGATGGGTCATATTATGCCCAAACCCCCCTGCAGTTTTCAAAATATCTGAAATGTCGGAAATTTGACTTCTGAGCGTGATTTTTGAGCGGAATTCTGACTCTCTGCACCTATTCTCATTTACAAATTACGATATTTTATACCGAAAATATGCCAATTACTGAAAACGGCGATGGGTTTTATTTTGCCTAACTTCCCTATCCCGTTCACGCATTTGCTTATAGTCAATATCTTGCTGATGAATAAGTGCATATGGGACATACTAATTTATTGTGAATATTTGAGTTTACCTTGAAAAGCTGAATAGAAAGAATTTTTTTTTATAAAATCTCTATTGTTTAATAAAGCTGAAATGAAAAGTTATTGCCTTGAAAAACAATATGGCTCGGAATATATCATATATATACTTATTTATAAGCTAAATAGTGACTATAAACAATAAGTCGTATATGTGCTCTCCTGTGCGAGAGCAGGTTGCAGCATTATATACGCCAACTTCAGGAGAAAGAGACACACACTTGCTTCCTACGCATTTGGTTTGACTGAAGCAATAAGACTATATCACACAGCGGCTCTAAAGTCTTCATAAACTCCTACAACTCTCCATGTTATTCAGGAAATTCTCCAGCAGTCAAGCTTTGCGTATGAATTGGTTGTAGCTTAAGCTTTGGTTGCCATCTGTGTCTCCGAACGACTCCCGACTAAGGGCAGTACAGCCTTTAAATGCACCTGTTAATAGGGGTTTATCTCCAGTCAATGGATTAACTTACAGTCCTTGACCTGATCACCTGGTTCGTTAAGGAGTCACCCACTGGGCTTTACTACATCGGAGTGAGGTTCATGTTGAATTACTCACAGTTAGTATAAATGAACTTTTGGCTTCTACGGCGACTAGCCTCAAATCAGGTTCAGTTCTGGTATAATACGTGATTCTGAAGGTGGTAATTAAGGTCTAGTTGTCTAGGCAAGACAACAACATTTCTTTCCAGGCGTTTAACGATGCATAAGGAACAGGGCTCCATTAAGGAACATAAAATCTCTTCCCACAACCAAACCATCGCCAGAGAAATCTTAGCAAACAACACAGAAATCATCGATAGATACAGCGATAGCAGGCGGCTTGACATCTGCGAGGCACTACACATCAAGAAGTCAACACCAGCAATCAAAAGCCAATTAATGCACAACTATATTCTACCCACTTCAAGACTCCGCTCCAATATAGAAGCATCAAGAAATATGGGCCAATAGGCCCTCTGCAATTACTTCCATTCTTACCTTCAATACCCATTGTTTCGTGTTCTGGCTTGTGTTGAAAGTTTGTTTTCACCTCATCCAAAACTGTTGTAACATATCACCTCACCCAAATGCAGGTATAAAAAATCGAAGATGTTTAAGCTCTATTCAGTTATAGTTGTGTGTGTGTGTAAACTAAAGTCTTTGAAAATGTAATAAGTTTTACAAAACGCGCTCAAGTGTCGCGTCAGACTAGAAATAAAAATGAATTTTGGAGAATTGATTTTTCAATTACCATCAACAGTGAAAAGAAACATAAGAATGATCGAGAAAATTCGTTTTAGAATTATTAATCTTACTTTTTCGGTCATATTTAATAATATATGTCTACAGGAAAGACTGCTACCAATATATATATATATATATATATATATATATATATATATATATATATATATATATATATATATATATATATATAAGTTGCTTTTCATAGCACTCTGTAATTTATAACCTGGGGACTATTGCGTACAAAATGCGACGCATTAGTTGCGATGGTCCGGTTGCACGCAAACCCGGCGACGCCCGGGACATGTAGCCAAAAATACCGACAAAATATATAGACACACCAGCCAACGTAACACACTTGTGCTTACATCAAACACTCCAACTTGCGCTTAAGAACGTATGAGATTCATCTTTGTAAACACAGAGTCTTTTAAAATCACCCGGATTTACCTCACTTGGATTCTTCTGCTCTGATACTTGAAATACATATTTGCTAAAAGTGTCTGTGTTCACTTATTTCACTTATTTGTGTTCGCCTATTTGTGGCTGCTGGATCAAGCTCTTGGACCCCGCTTTTCTAACTTTTGGTTGTTTAATGCAAAGTCTTGCCCTATTTTCTCCTATTATATGTGTATTCATCTATTTGTATTCACCTATTTGTGCTTGCGGGGGTTGAGCTCTGCTCTTTCGGCCCGCCTCTCTCAAATGTCAATCAACTGTTACTAACTACTAACTATTTTTTTTTGACACGCACGCACACACACACATCCCCAGGAAGCAGCGCGTAGCAGCTGTCTAACTCCCAGATACCTATTTATTGCTAGGTAACAGGAGCATCAGGGTGAAGGAAACACTGCTCATTTGTTTTCCGCCGGCTGCGGGGTTCGAGCCCCGGTCTCTAGGTTCACGAGTCTAGAGCGCTGTCGACTCAGCTACCGGCCCCTACCACTATGTATGTGTGTGTGTGTGTGTGTGTGTGTGTGTGTGTGTGTGTGTGTGTGTGTGTGTGTGTGTGTGTGTGTGTGTGTGTGTGTGTGTTAACACTTTGGTACTCATCCCAACTAACAAGTTCTTTCTCATATTTCTCCGTTCTGACAGTTGGCCCACACAGTTCAATTCTTCGTTCTATAACTCATCAGTTTCTACCTTGTGAACCCTGTACTATGTCTTGACACTGTTTATCCATCGCGTCCTCTCAAGTAACAGGTCGTATTTTGTAGGTAATCGTAAACAACGTTACAAATGTAACCTATTTAGAAAAGGAGCGGTACACAAATATTCGCATTCCACTATATCATTCTGAAACTCATTCCTCGACCCTCTTCGGTAACACATTCCACATTTTCACTTAACGAAACAGTGAAGACACGCATTGTTAAATCAGTCTGAAAGATCTGATTTTCGAATGTCCAACACATAATAATTATTTTCCCAGCCGTGGCCTTGAACCTTGGGAACGTGGCCTCTGGCGCTGTGTGTCTTGTAGGTTGTGATTCTCCTGTCAGGTTCCAGAGAGGATCCGTTCTTACGGTCTCTCTTTAAAGCCAAGGTTTTATGTTTTGTTTGTAAGTAAGCGTATCGCAATGTTTGTGGGTACGTGTAAGCTAGAGAGAGAGAGAGAGAGAGAGAGAGAGAGAGAGAGAGAGAGAGAGAGAGAGAGAGAGAGAGAGAGAGAGAGAGAGATATTAAACACTCTGTTCACACCTTGAGATCGACTTGATATGAGGTTCATGCATGTCCTGGTCAGGGTGGATTGACTGGGCACCAATCGTTAACTCTGTACCTCATTCACCCAGCAGCAATTGGACGCCTGGATGTAAATCAATTGCCGGAATGTGTTCCAGGGGAAAAGTTGTAGGATCAGGGTTAACAAAGTACGTAAATAGAAGGTTCACAGCCTGCCAGCAATAGTCAGAAGTGATATGCTCCTATACCTACATGTGTCAAGAAGAGAGAGAGAGAGAGAGAGAGAGAGAGAGAGAGAGAGAGAGAGAGAGAGAGAGAGAGAGAGAGAGAGAGAGAGAGAGAGAGAGAGAGAGAGAGAGAGAGAGAGAGAGAGAGAGAAGCCTCAGGATACCCCCCGCCCCATCATACCTCCCACGGAGCAGGATTATAGTCGACAATCCTGTAATTTACAGCAGTGGGCGGTCGAGTTATACATGAAGCCGAGAAGTCGAGTCCTTATGCATCCAACCCCGCCCCTCTCATCTCTCTCACTCTCTCTCCTTTCCTCACCTTCGCCTCTATCTTGCTCTCCTTCAACTGTTTCCTACTCCGTGTTTATTCCTTATTGGGGTCCACCCGACGCCTCAC